TATTTTGTAAGGATTTGATGGGGCCGGTCTATTCGCTTACTCCGCAAGATATGTGTATTATGTTGACCCATTTTAACTAAAGGGAACACGAGGAAAACGTCAAATCAAGATGTAAAGTTTTCAGAATTTGCCTACGTCTCAATAAATCCCATGCAAGTGTTTCGCCGGAGGCAATGCAATCCTGTAAATACATGTAGGATGATCTAGGAGTAGTAATGCAAGTACACACCTTGCTGATGTGCTAGCTACGAGTGGGACAGACACCGGCCTGTTTCCAGATTCGAACAAAATTCACACGCGCCTGGAATCAAAGACACTGCACGGGAGGAAACAGCTGGATCGGGATCTGCTAGGTAACTAGGGTCAGTACCCTCCATGTTCAGGACTGTCGAGTGCTGCTGTTTAACCTTGCCCGAGAGTGTGTGTTGGCGGGAGGGGGGGGGAGCAACGTTTAAAAGCGGACGGAGGAGTCAATGGGGAAAGCGAAAGGTTGACTAGAGAAAGGAGGGACAGGCGCAGCGGGACTGAATTGTCTCCAAAGCTTCCCAGGTGCGCTGCCCGATGGTGGCAGATCCCCGGGAAGGGGCGGCTGTTGCTAATGAACATTGGCTCCCCCCTCTGCTGGCATCCCCGGGGCTCCGCTCCCCCGCGCTCCTCACCCACTCGTTCCGCCCAGCGCCCGCTGTCAGAGCGAGAGCGCGCTGGGGGAAGGGAGTCCTGGACTTCGCCGCAGGAGCTGTTCGAGCCTCCCTGCGGGCTGTAAACTGAGGAGGAGCCGCGGCAGAAAAGCAACCGCAGAGCGATTCCTGCGAGAAGCCTTCCCCCGGGTCAGTGTCAGGGCTAATACTGCCATCTACTGGCTGCTTCCCGACAGTGCCGTTCTAACCCCGGGCAGGGCGACACTCCTAGACGCTGTATTACAGGAGCAGCGGGTGCTTCCTGGGAACTGCGGGAAGAGTTTTCGCTTCATAGAAACGTGCCTGCGTTTGGAGGTAAGCTCCTAACCACGCGCCCTGAACTTGCAGGAGAAACCCTCCGGAAAAAGCTGAAAAGCATGAGGGGGAAATGTAAAGCTAAGCTGTAACAAACCATTCGGATCTGGTCTAAATCGAAATGTATTGTATGCACAGGCTTATTTGTTAGGAGACTGTATAGCAATGAAGGAAGAAAGACATAGGCTGGAAGGCTATCTCTATGAACTAACACATATATTGTTGGTTACAGTACCCGTAGCATGATGTGTTCCTGGCCCATTATTAGGTGCTAGGAGCTGAAGACTGTAATTTATTATTATTAATTATTATTATTATCATCATCATCATCATCATATCTGTCATAAAGAATAATAATAATAAGTTCAACTATAAATTACACTTTGATGTTTCGGTGTTTCCGATAAGCGAGACTAGAATTCAGAGAAAATGCAGAGGGAAAATGTCTGATCCCATCAGACCTAGAGAAAAAGCTCGTGATTCTGCTTGTTATATGTATTTTATTACTCTTAATTGTCCTCCTTGTATCCAAAGCATGTAACTAGTGTGTTGTTCTGTAATGAGAAGTCAGAATGAAGAGTTTACTTTTGGTCCATACAGGCGATCTCTATTGCCTGGGTGGGTCTTCAAACCAGTAAGCCCAGTTCACCAAGGAGTTGTATGAAAGTGAGAAGATTTTCACCTCCAAGCCTAGAGTACTACAGGGCGTCTGCAAAAAGTTCATAATAGGACATAGAAAAAGAAGCAATAACTGCGCTAAAGGTCCGGAGTAATAACACCGGGGCAGACAAGCTGACGGTGCAATCATTAAGACTGGCCACCTCACGACAGGGAGACAAGCCGGGTGCTATTCCAGAAGAAATTCGGATCCTTGTTCTCCTTGGATCAACCATTCCGGATTTACATTGGTGCACTGAAGGCTACCTTTTGACACCAGTTTTGAAGTAGAAGTTCCCATGGCATTGACTAGAATGGGGACTTCTGCTTGAAAAATCGTGGCGTACTATGGTCGTGGCACCAATATACAGAAAGTGAAGATTCGTGCGATCTTGACTGAAGGGGGAAAACCGGGAGAGCAGATGCGGGTAATAAGATTCAGACACTGGAATGTGATATTGCTGCGAGGCGGGACAGGCGTGGGAGTGCTTGGAGGCTGAGGTGTGTTGCACGTAGCAGACACGCGGGTAATCACCACGCGATGCTGGCGAGCCATGTCCACACGTAAGAAGGGCCATAGACACAGAGCCAGGCTGGGACGGGTTTTGCTGGAGGAACGGCAGCTCCCTCCCCAACTGGGCGACTGTTTAATCCCCAGAAAGCAGAGCAGTGTAGATGCCAGGGGGAATGCCAGTCTTGATCGTAGGTCCCGAGTTGAACCCTTTCACTAGCCCAGTCGGGTCTGGTTAATTCAACGCGCCTGGGGGGAATGCCAGTCTTGTTCGTAGGTCCCGAGTTGAACCCTTTTACTAGCCCAGTCGGGTCTGGTTAATTCAACGCGCAGTCTGCTCTCTTCTCTGCAGATTGCTTTTCTTTACAACGCGTGAGAAAGTGAGGGACCCGGGTGGGATCAGATAGGATGGAGAACGCCTGGAAGTGGGAGGAGGGCATGAGATGCAGTGGACCTTATGAATAGTGAGGGGCGAGTACCGCGACTAGGAAGATGATCGCGTTTCCTGTCCGGAAACCCTCGGAAACAAATATCGAGCTGATAAAAGAAATCTGCTGTCGGTTCTGAATCCCTCTGACACCGACTAAGTCAGTGCGTATCTGTCCGCGTCAGCGCTCCCAACGCCGCGGGACTTGAGTAGGAATTGGCTGGCACCTGGAAACAATGTAAAATGTGTTCCTGGAAATTAGCCCGTATTATAATCATCTATTACATTTCCTATACTTAGTAGTAGAAACAGTTCTTTGATTAGTGCAAGCCCAGAGACATAAAGCAGTCGATGTACTTTTAAAGCAGAAACATTACTCCTTCCCTATAGCTACTTGGGACTGAGTTTTAAAATGACAGCAAGAACAGATGTAAATGCCCCATTTTACTCTTCAGTTTTGTAAACCAAAAAACTAGAGTGTAGGAGCTTTTAAGCTTATGAAGCAAAAATGCTTTGGCAGCTATCGATAAATCTATCTCCTGGGGCTGTTTTACTTGTTTTATGGCAGTGAAATGTGACTATATACATAATGAAAGACCTCAAGGCAACTTTTAGAGCCTGTAAACCAGCCGAGCAGCGGTAAGCAAATGCTTCACATTCAGGGGGAGGATGATTTGCTGTGTCATCAGACAGCCTCTCAGAACCGTTTTGAAACGAAATGGTCGGCAGATGTAGCTAAACATGACGACTGATATTTAGCTATTATACAGATATTTTCCAGTAGCGTGCAAACTCCTAGTAACCCCGAGGGGAGGAATGTAAAATTGTCTGATTTTGAAAAGAGGGATTCTTTAGTGACTTCCCTGCTTGCAGAAAGCGTTAGTGATACAGGCAGGATTAGACCTTAAGAGATTTGGGTTTAGCTTCTAGCACTGTGAGCTACTAACTAAATTAGCGAGGGGTCTAGGAAGAAGCACGTGTGAGCCAGAGTAAGTGCTGTTGTAGTCCCATAACTAAGGGACGTTTCTATCCTTAACATAATTCGGAGTTCTCTCGCAAACATATTGAAATTCCATACTATGCAGAGGGAAAGCGGAGTCAATGGGACCAATACAAGGAACAGGATTTAGCCCAAAGGCAAAGCTTACAGCCGGGTTTACAGGGGGCTCTGGCATCCAAGAACACTTGGGTGACTAAGGGCGTTAGAGTGCTTACCGTGGAAAGGTCTCTGGGTTTGACAACTCTTCTGTCCCTGCAACGATATTTGCTGTTGCAATGTTGTCTCTGTTTTGTTTGTTCTTTCTTGCCCTGCAACAATGTAGGTTGTGTACCCTGCCTTTTGCAGTTTGGGAAAGGCACATGTTTTCCTCTGAATCTGACTCTGTCACTCCTTTTGATCATATCCGCATCTCCCCTATCTCTTGTACTTTGCATTTTCCGTCTGCCTCCAGTCCTTTCCTTATCGATGTATTCTGATTTTTCTCCTTCAGCATGTGCTGGCTAGATAGTGCCTGACCCCGGGTTCATTGTGTGCCTCGTTTCTTAGCTGTTCAGGCTTCAACTTCTGCTTTTGCCAGTACAAACCTCCAGCTGCGAACTGCTCTGGATCAATTCATGCGGCTCCCTTTAATATCTGTCACCATCACCTGACAACGCAGGGAGATATGCTGCCCCTTGGCATGACGTTTGATCATAAAGCACTGGATAGAGGTGTCAATGCAGTAGGCCACAGAGCTCACTGGCGACTTCCTTTTTGATATCATTGATGAGTGTAGATGAAGATATGGCCAATTTCAGCTTTGATTTTTTGAACCCGGGACCTTGTCCTCCTCCAGTCTTAATCCGTAGTAAAACTCCCTTCGATTTCCACAGGGCAGGATCTGACTTCTAATCTACTGCTGAGCTACTTCTGTCTAGTCATTCATTCTGCTAATCATCAGTGAGGGGCAACAAGGTCCCCAGAACAAGGCAATTGTGTGCTTATAAAGCAGAGAGGGGACCCGTTTGGCATTGTTTCCCTTGTTTGCTTTAGTTTTCCTGGAGTGGGATCTATCAACGACCATTTGTATAAAGCCTGTTACTTTCATGCTTTGGGTTTAAAGTGCTGAGATAACAGGCCAGCGACACAAAACATGTTGCTACAATGTACTCGCCATAGAGAAATGTGACGTGCCAATTTCAGCAGCCGCCTGGCGATGGTTTCTAGAACCTTTGGATTCCTGCCTGCTCGGGAAGTGATTGAGGGAATTCTCAGGCCAGCTGGCTAGGATCGCTCCCAGTTTCCTGGCTGGCAGTTCCTGCTAGGGAATAACAGTGTGGGGGCCTGGGTGTTGGGGCAGAGGGAAGTCTCTGGTTAAGACATATTACAGGGAGTGCAGCTCAGGGATTTATACCGTGCTCTGTTTCTTGAACAATTCATCTATTCTAAGCACATGTCTCCTTTTTCCCACCTGGACAAGGGAGGCAATTGTGCTTTCATACAGCACAGGGGTGCTGTGAGGATGCTTCCAACACACATGCTTTCAAAACTTATCTGGTAGGTGCCATAGTAGCACGTAAACTTATTTACGTCCTATCACCAGAATCCTAGAATCTTCTGAATAAAAAATGGGGGGACAGTCTGGTAAAATCATATTCCAGCTTCCATGGACCAAGGGGGCGGGGAGGCTCACCCCACAGTGTATCTGCCAGGGCTTTGTCTTGACCACTTTCAAAAATCACCTGCAATGAACAAAAACCCAACAAAAAGCACGTGCCCTCTCGCACACTTTTATGATGCATAGGGAACAGGAAGATCTGGAACATTTTTCTATATAAATGTTTTAAATCGGGCGTGGAGAGGTTGGCATTTAGGGTTCTTTGGAGAAAATGGAGTCTTGTCTAATCTGGAAGATGCTGTAGTAACTAGAGAACTAGTAATTGCTGTCCCAAGGGTCAAGAAAGGAGTCCTGAGACACCAAGAAAGAAACAGGCATTTTGTCAGGCCGTTTATAGTCCAGCTTTATCTACACTTATTCGATCCTAACGATTCACATTGTGGAAAAAAATATTTTCTTTTTAAAGATTAAAGACTTCCACCTCTTCCATTCAGGGAAGGCCCAGAGAGGTAGCCGTGTTTGTCTGTAGTTTAAAAAAAAAATCCAGTATCACCTCAGAGGCTAATAAAAATATAGAAATAGAGACGTTCCAGTAACCAATTTCCGATTTCTCCCAGTCCTCTGGGAAAGACGGGTAGGGCCTTATATTCCCGATATTTGTAAGGAAAAAATAAAACCACTTCAAAAAGGACACGTTTAAAACATCGGTTGCAAAAAGTACAGTTAAACGTGGCAAAAGGTGAGTCACCAGGGTTTTTTCTTTGGAGACTGTTCTACACATTCCACTGGAGGGGAAGATTTCCCAGTGGCCACCCTCTTTATTCTTTTATTTCTTCCCCTGGCCTCTAGCAATGGGAAACCCACGGCTTTGTCAGCCCTGCAAGCGGAGACACCCCCAGCTTAGCACCAGCAGAATGGGAAAATACCAGCAAAACCCCGGTAAAGGGCGCTGTATTACAGCCATATATCAGTTGTGTTTAGTTTCCTTGCTGATGGCCTTTCATAACTCAGTGGTCATCTTTCTTGCTCTGCCATTAATTATTCCGGGAAGCAAATAAATGGGCCCAGAATCAAGTCACGGACATCCCCGCCCCCCCCGGCAGTTTTCCTGCGGGAGAGCGAGCTTGGGATCGTTCGCAGTAGGACAATGCCGACTTTTGAACCTCTAACCACTAAGCAAACAAACCTTGCGCTCTGCTCCACAATCCAAACACGGTTTATTGACAGGCGTTTCACAGCAACGCATAGCAACTGAGGCAGCCGCCGCCGCCAGCCGCAGCCCGGGGGAGCAGGAAGATCACTGGCCTGCGGGCGCGGCCCCCGGAGCACCAGAGGGCAACCTCGCAAAGGCTGCGCCCCGGAGTCAGGGCTGGCAGAGTCTTTTCCCAGCGCGCCCCGGGCACAGGCCTTCCATGCCAGCCCGCACCGCCAGCTCTGGTTTGAACTGAGGCCGGATCCTGCAGTCCTGCCTCGCAGGGGGTTCCGGGAGGAGGGGGAGAGGCGCCGCATGAGTGATCCTCTTTAGCTTGGGAGGCAGGGGGCCCTGACTGCTCAGGCTCCAATGAAACGGGGCTGACGAGAGAGCACCTGAAAATGTGAAAACTTAGCAAGCACGTCCCTCCACTCCCTCTTCCCCTAGCTTCAGGGGCCAGTCCCCGGGCAGCGCCCGTGACACGCTGCTAAGCTGCGCTTTGAGGGGGTTAAAATGATATTTTCAATGGCAAGGGCCTTTCCACCCATTCCCTGTTGCAACCCACCGGCCAGGTCGTCACATATCAGGGATGCTGCACACAGCTTTATAAACACCTCATCCTACCTCCTAAACACACGCACACACACACACACCCCTTGCAGCCTCCTCCAAAGACACCAGGACACACACTCTGCAACAGAGACAAAACCTCGCTTAAGTCCAAAAACAAAAGGAAAACAACCCCAAAACACCAGCAAAACCTCTGCTCCACGAATTATACTAGAACCCACTCAGAGAAGAGAATAGGGCTAAAAGCCACCGCAGAGTCCAGGCGGAGTTTCTTTCACATGCTTGGCACATGAAGTCAGCTTCTCAGCCTTTGTCAGGAGCCTGCATGCAGCACTAGACTCTTTTCAGAAGACCCTAATTTCTGACACATCCTTAACCCCCTGCCGCGTGGGATCACAGCGCAAACACTACACTACACAAACACAACCTCTCAGCTCTGGCAGACGTCTGCCCCTGACCTAGCACATGGTTAAAAACACGGTGGGTTGTAAAAGAGCCCCCCTCCCAAAACCACTCCTTGCATTAATAGCCTTTCTAAAATTACACCTGGCAATCTGCGAATTTAAAACTGCTCCTGCCTGGAAAGGTTATAAATAAAAACAGCAGGGAGCATTTCATAGGCTCTTCCCCCACTTCTATTAATGGTACTGACAAGGTTCCTAGCAGGTATGGTGGAATAGGAATGGCACCATGAGCAAATCCTCCTTACCAATGTGTTCTTTGGCCAAAGTTTATTGGTCAAATGGGGGGGGGGGGAGGAAATCACGTGTTACCATGAGCAATTACATGTCTGACATCTCAAATAGCCACGTTGCTAACAGCAAATCTCGGGTAAAGTATATTGCAAATGGCCTGCTGTCCCCCTATCCCAGGTACAACCAGAACATGCAGTTTCTGCCCTGGGTGGAAAGCCTTGGACTGTGTGTGTTTCAAAGACTAATTTTCCAGATTTTTGGCTCATTAGTTGAGTAAATCCTACAATAAAACGGTGGAAACCAACCTTTCCCAGGGACAGCAGAGATTGTCATCTGTGTCCAGGACTGGCAGAAGAATCCGTATTTTGGTCTTTCTCCCCCATTTAATAAAAAAGAGGGACAGGGGCCAACCCCAAAGGTGTGTGTTCCTGCAGGCTTTGTTGAAGAAGGCATCTTACAACTCAGAGCTTGTCCTCGGGGCTTTCTCTTTTTCTTTTTGGACCCATAATAAAGCCTTCAAACCAGGAAGGTGCTTGTATTTATGGAGCTGCTCAAGGGAGAAGAAAAACCGGGCATAATCTGAAATCTCTCTCGTTGTCCCCAAACCTCCTTGGTAATAATATTACACTCGGGGGATCCTCCCTCTTGCAAGTGTAACTAAATTGCTGTTTCCACAGGAGAGGTCCCCTCTTAATTTCTCCACCGTGTAGAAGGGCTGGGTGACACTCAGCACCAGATTTACCAGCATTTTTACAAGCGGCCAGCATTAAGCAATTCACTTCTGAACATTTGAGCCGTGTCTTATCTTACCTTCCCCGCAATAAGGCAAGATGGTCATTCTGAAGGTTTATGGGCGCCAACGACAAACGCGCTTTACACTTTGCTATGAAAATTCATCCTTGGCCCAACCTGCGTGATAAAACCATCCACCCCAGATCCCCGAGAAGCAGAGTTTGAGAATTGCTGGGCGCTGTGGGCTCAGGGCTGGACTGTTGGTATTTACTGTATTGCAAACGCCGAGTGTGAAAAACAAACGCGTGTGTCCCCGAACAAGGCAACGGAGGCGCTGTACACTTTGTACAAAGGGCTGGAGTGTGGCTGCCGGAGTTCAGCCCGGCCACTGTCGTGCGCAGCCCCGGCTCTGTCAGTTTCAGTGGCTGACCAGCGACGTTTCCCCGCTGGGGGCTGGCGATGGCGCGCTGCTGTTCGCCAAGGAGAGCACAAGCCCCCCTCCCCCCTCCTCCTCAGTCTCTGGCTCCTGTCACTGGGTCACCGATGGCGCTAAGACCCCAGCGGCTCCCAGCACGCCCCCCGCTGGGCCAGGGCCGGTGGATCCCTGGAGGGAGGAGACCGGGCTCAGCGGTTGGGAGCCGCTGTGCACCGAGCCGGGCTGGGACTGCTGCAATTTCTTCTTGTTGATCTTTCGCTCTTTCGCTCGCCTGTTCTGAAACCAGATTTTTACCTGGCGGAGACAAGAAAGGAGAGAGAGAGAGAGAGAGAGGGAGAGGGATGGTCAAATCAGAGAGCGCAAGCGGCTCCAGACTGGCCAGGCTGCGTGCACCTTGGGGGCTTGCTCAGCAATCGGCCCAGCCATCTGAGCCCGGCTCTGCTGCAACACGCAGGGAACGGCCCGGTGTCCTGCAAACCAGAGCGCCAGACTTAGGCGCGGGGCCCGATCCCCAGCTCTCGACGCAGGCCAATTCCCGAGAAAGACCCTCCGCAGAAAATACTCCTCTGTGAGCGCCAACAGGCGCAAGCGTGGGTGGAAACCCCCACCCCACGCACAGTAGGAAGTGCAACCGGGTGGGTTTGGAGGGTTGCAAAGCTCCCTGCCTGTCGCCCTGCGTTTCTTTCGCACTCAGCAGTAGTTAAAACACCAGGTCAGTTCCTTGCACGCTCACCTCCCCCACTGCCAGGAAAATCCCCACTCTCCTGGCAAGGGCAGACCGCGGGCGGAATTGGGAGTTGTCCCCCGGGATTGATCCGCACAGTCCCGCGGAGGTTTAAGCAGAATCCCCCACCGATCGGTGCCTCATGGCCCTGGCGACGTGTGCATTACCTCGTGGGCAACGCGCCGGTGGGGAGGGGGAAGGACTACCGCGCTGCTGGGTGTTTCCGAAATAAAGAGAAAGGGACGCCCAAGGACAGACCTGCCTCTCTGACAATCCCAACGTAGCGGCCAGTTCTGCTTTCCTCCGGATTGTTATATACCGGCTGTAATGAAACTCCTTCTCCAGCTCCAGCCGCTGGTGGTCCGTGTACACCACGCGGTACTTATCTTTTGTCCTGGTTTTAACTAGAGAGGAGAAATCCGGGACAAAAAGAAAGCAACTCGTCAGGTACATTAAATGACAAACCTTCACCCCCACCACCCCCGGACTTTCTTTTCCTCTCCTGGAGCGCTGCTTCTCCTCACCCAGCCATACCCCTCAGTGGATCAGGAGTACAGAGTCGGGACCTTTCAATTTCCCAAACCGTGGCCTTGAATAAAAAGCTTAACCGGGCTGGGGGAAGATCTCCAGGTAATCAACGCTGTCTGGCAGTGGGACAATGCTACAAAGCCTGCGCGAATGTCACTGGGAACCAAACGCAGGCACTAGAGCCCTAGGCCAGAATTGCAGGATTTTGAAACGTGCCTTTATTTTGACCCTTTCCCCCGGAGCATTGCTCTGAAATGCCGCTTACAATGGGAAACCCCCTGATTAAAGGAGACACGTGTTGACGGGCCTTATGCGCTAGAGCAGAATTCGAGCGTCTCACGTGTAAACTTCTCGGGCATTGCTTTGATCCCCACTCCCCGCCCCGATTTTTGTAATGTCCCTCAGCAAACCTAGGCCAATGCACACGATCTGCGATTGCTCTACTGAATCCCTCTATTGACCCTGATTCATTTACTTTTGCAGGCGAGAACTGACAAGTCGGACACTGAAAATATTAGGGCTCAAAAATGCTGTTTGACGTGCGTGGGCTTTTCCCCCTATGCGGAGCGAGTATCGTTTGTACATTGCTAAGCCATTGATCTCCCTGCTGCTGATTGTTTCTTGTTTAACTGGTTGTATCCCCAGATTTCTCGTTCATCAGAAAGATCAGAAGAGTCGGTAGGCTCTGCCCTTAGGTATGTAATGCCCGGCAGGCTGACTTTGTTCAGGTAAACTCTCTGCAAACCACAACAAAAGCGCCCTGCAAAGATACAAGTCTGATCAGAGAAAACTCCCCAGAGCCGCTGAATGGGGAACACAATCGCAAACAATGCAGGACAAGGAGATCTTATCAAAGAAAAACCTTCTCAATGCCTTAATAACAGCCCCATTCTGTTTGAATTACCACTACTGAGCAAATGGCGGCAGGCGCTTTCATCCCCCGGCCGGGCAGATTAACATAAACACTGGCTCCAAAGGCAGCATTTGAATGGAGCCATCCCCCTCAAGTGACCGGCCACCCTTCCCGAAAGGGAAACTGTGGGAACAGGAGGGGATTGTGGGAAAATCCCACAATGGCTGAATTGTTGGCCTCGCTGCTCAGATGCCAGCACATTCCCTCACATTAAAGTTGGTCCTTGCTCTTCCAGGGAGTCCGCTAACTCCAGGCCCCTTTGGTACCTGTGTGTGCGCGCGGGTGTGTGTGTGTCTGTGTGTGTGTGTGTGTGGGGGGGGGGGGGTTATCAGCCCGGCTCGGTCGCCCCCCACGTGCGTTCTCTGGGGAAGCCGGGGGATGAGAGAGGAATGCCAGAATTCATTATTTACTGCGAAAGTTGCCACCCTCTTTCCGGCCAGTAAAAGGGACAATGGCGGGGGAGGGGGTTTAAAGGCCCATGACAGATGAGGGTCTGCAGAGAACAGGAGCTCCTGGCCCGTCTGCAGGCACCGGGGAGACATTAACATCACAACTGAGAGCGGCGCCTGGCCACCTCCTTGGCACCTTAGCGCAGGACATCACAGGCCTCTCCTAGCTGACCTCCAGCCCCAGGGACAACAGCTCCCCTCGAAGCTCCTTCTCCCACGAGAGGGAGGGAGGGGGCCACTTTTAAACTCCCAGCCCTCCTTTAGCACGTCCTGATCCCAGCACCTCTGCCCAAGAAGGGGGGGGGGGGGGAAGTAGCACACAGCGGTTTTGCCGTCCCGGAGGAAACCTGCCCTCGGATAAATTGCAGCCCCAGCTCGATGGGGTGGCGAATAAAGAGCCAGCCCCAGCCCCGAGAATCCCAGGGCTCAGAACCGCCTTGGTCCCTTTCCCAGCGAAGGAACAGCAGGTCGGGGCCAGGAATAAGCGCTCAAGACCTTAATCAAGGTATGCGCCCAATGACTCAGAAACCAATGCGAAGCGACACCGGCCGATGATTTATATGGCTGTAATTGGTTATAAAAATATTTTAAACGCCTATAACCAGGAGTCGTAGGTCTGAAGCCCAGGGAGGACCAGCCAGCGCTCCACTGGGACGAAATTAAACTAACTTCCTCAGGAAATCGGCCAACACCATACACGGAAACAGACTCCCGGCCTCTGCAAAGCTTGGATCGACGAGGAGAAAGTCCCCCACAAGGCTGCCCCACGGCTCGTCGTTTCAAAAGCCCCCTTGAAACAAGAGCTGGGTTTTAAAGGACAGGCTGCTAACTCGCAGTGCGTTAACATCTCACACCCACACCGCACTCCCGCAGCAGGGCGCTGGCTTTGTGGCCTACGTTTTCCTGCTCAGCTACTTTCTCACAAAGGGAAAACAAAACCGCGTTTTTCCCTCTGTACCTGCAGGTCAGTAACACGATTCCAAAACGGCAAAGCGATTCCGCTTCCTATCAACTCTCCCTCTTCCCCTAGGATCCGTAATTCAAGTGTTGCCGATGGGTCCAGTAACTTTAAGGCGGCTACAAACAGTGAGGTGAAGTCTTCTCCTACCCACTCCAGTCTTTGCGTTCGACACTAAAATGCGAAACAACCGAAGGCGCAAACAGCATTTTGCCTCTTGGGAAGAGCCTCGGTCTTAGCTGCGGCTCCCTTATTTTCTTTACAAACAAAATGCAAAGTGAGGCTGTCGCAGTGAAATGACTGGGCCCGCAGCGCGAGGCGGGCTCCAAACCGGGTGCGATTCTTGGCACTAGGGAATGTCCCTGCAAATCGCCCCCACGCGTACGGGACAGACGTCTCTCGAGGAGCGCGCAGGCTGCTCTCGTCCTGACAGAGCTGGGGGCTGCCATGG